TGAACTGTACCGGACAAAACAAAATCATGAAATAACCGGTTTAATAACATTTCAGACTCCTCATCAACCACAGCCTGCTGAGCTATACCAGTTAATGCTGGTCTTTGCCTCTCTCCAGCACTCCAAGCCTCAGAACTAGCTCTTCTGGGTACAACACTAGCATTGAATGCCTGATTTCTTCTTTTCTCTTCAGCAACTGCTTCATTGCAACTTCCTTTTCTTGACAAGCTCCGCTCTGGTGGCTCAACCCCACCAACTAACACAGCTTTCTCAGGAATTGCCCACACTCCTGCCTTTTCTGTAAGAACAACCCAAGCTCCTTCATCTCTGTCCTCGGAAGATGGGATAACTGAAGCATCGAGAACCTTTCCAGCATCCCAAGGCAGATCAAATTGATAGAGACGGGTTGAACCTCTCCAGTATATGGCTATTGTTGCTGTTCCATCACCTGACAGTATGATTACAGAACCAGAAGGCTTACCACCAGTTTTTAGCCTCATAGAAAACAAGAACTCTTCATCCTCTACTCTAGCCTTAGGGATTATCACCTGAGAAGGAGCTTTTTTCTCCAAAAACCTTTCAGTTTTAATCACATTATCTTCAGATGAAAACTTTTGGTTAGGTCTGTACAGCATCGTCAGAAGAGAATACTGAGTGTAGTTCGACCCACTCACCCGATCTTTGCAGAAGGTAGCAACAAGAATGATAATTTCTTTCCCATGATCATCTATCTGCATGTCCAAAAGCCATATGTTTTTCTGTCCAGCTATGTCTTTCTTTATTCCCATATCACCATCACTACCAACAATTTCCTGAGACCCTATTTTTTTGCAGTTGATATCATGCCCGAATGAGATGCTCCAGCATTGCAGCTCATGACTAGTCAATAAAAAGAACGTCCGTTCAGCAGCCTTAGATGATGCTTTACTTGGTAGCCAAGCCAAGGACCTTCCACCACTATTTTTCTGAGAATGATCAGCATTATAAACTCCTAATGTACCCTTATGAATTTCTCTTCGACGAACTGCAGCTGGTGAACACCAGAACATCCATAATGTGCCTGTTGGCTGAGAAGCAATCACAATGCATTCATTAATACCTCCTGGAACTGCCACTGCAATAAGAGAATTAATCCTGCAGTTTCCAGATGTGCCATCACCTGAAGATGTATCACCATATCCAATTAAATCAAGAACTGAACTCTTACTGCTTTCAGCATAGATATCAGACCAATAAGCTATAGCTTGTGTTCTTTTGTTGCACAGGATAAAACCAGTCGAACTTCTTCGATGCAATATATCTCCACTGCTCCGTGTTGATGCACCACTACTACCCCATCTCACTATGCAAACTGCCCACTGATTACCACATAGAGATTTTTCTTCTTTGTTCCCCATAAGAGAAGAAGGGACCTCAAGTACAAGACAGTCTTTTGCAACAGAAGCCAGGTAACTCCAGATAAAAAGCTCATTTCCACATAACATCCATGCAAGGGATGTTTCTTTATCAATGCCACCAGCAAGCATGTTCTTGCCTACAAGGATGTATTTAACAAGCATCTACTGTTCAGTATGGTACAAGCAAACTAATAACCAGGAAAAACTAGCACAGGACCATCAAACAGGAATAGTTACCGGAAAAACTCTTTTGCAGAAGGTTGGCTTGAGCATTTCGAACTATTTGGGGAAATTCGGATACATGCACCGGTTGGATCTGGCCAGAATCCCCTGTCCTGTCTGTTCGTGTTGATGTTGAAATCCTGCTAGTTTGCAAAAAGTTTCAAAATAAAAAGTTTATAAAACTATCGCAGCACAATGACCTGTAGTTAACGCACTAGACTACTGCAAAAAGGGCAAACGAGCTCATTTGAATCGCTCGCTTCCGGCGCCTCAACTGGGGACGAAAATACGATGAAATGCGGTGATTCTGATAAAATCAAAGAAAAATGGGGAATAAACGGAACCTGGCGAGCAGGGAGGAGGAGGTCCACGGCGCCGGGGTGCCGGTGGCGGGGCGGTCGTGGACGGCAAATCCACGAGGCGCGGGCGTGTGCGCGGGAGCGGGAGGGGGTGAGGGGGACGCCTCCTCCTTGTCCCTGCGGTGGAGCAGGTGGGGCTTCTTGATCGCCGGGGAGAACATCTTTGGCGGCGGGGGAGTTCGCGCAGCGCAGCAGCCACCCGCACGCGGCCGCACTCTCCGACTAGCCGGCCTTGGGCTCTCGGCGTCTCGGCGTCGGCGCTCGCTCCGGTAGGCTAGGGTTTTAGGAGTGTTTTGAGCTCCCCAGTTCTCAGTTTTTGCGCTTTGGCCCCTCCTGGCGGTTAATATTACGGGAATATCATTTGGAGCGACTTCCCGTTTTGAAATGTTCATTTCCAAGTACTAGGCCATGTTTAGATCCCACGTAAAAACTTTTGGCTCTGTAATATCGAATGTTTGGACACATGTATGGAGTACTAATTACACATATTGCGAGACGAATCTTTTAAGCCTAATTGCTCTATGATTTGATAATGTGCTACAATAAACATTTGCTAATGACGGAATAATTAGGCTTAATAAGTTCGTCTCGCAGTTACAGGCGCAATCTATAATTTGTTTTGTTATTAGTCTATATTTAATACTTTAAATGTGTGTCCTTATATCCGATGTGACACGTCAAAACTTTTTACCTCTGGAACTAAATAGGGCCTTAGTACTTAGTTCGAAGGTGTTGTATTCCGGCGCAGAAAACGCAACGAATTGTATGATTAATCAAAGAGTAATGTATACTTTGGGCTAAGCTTTTTTTTCAAAGTTTTACTTTGAACTAACTCAGGCGAAAGTTTTCATATAAAACTAATATGAAAATATTAAATTTTCCAGCTTCTAACTTACTTCATTTTTCGATGCTACAACTACATATTGTCATAATCTAAATCAAAATAGAGTAAAGTGCATTGGCGGTCCTTAAACTTATAGAATTGTGTCATATAAGCCCCTAAACTCTCAAAATACATATTCAGGTCCCAGAACTTGTCAAAGTGTATCATTTAGGTCCCAAATTGACACATCCCCTCTGCGATCCTATGTGGCGCTGATGTGGCAATGCCATATGGACGTGACATGTCATTTTCTTTTTTTTTCTTCTTTTCTTTTTCTTTTTCGTTTTCTTCTCATTCTTCTTTTGTTTCCTTTCTTCTGCACGGGTGAGAGAAAGGAGAAGAAAGGGGAAAAAAGAGAAGAAAAAAAGGAAAAAAATTTAAATGTGTCCTATTTGTCAGTTAAAATAATGCCACGTCATGTATGTATGGCATATTACATCAACGCCACGTAGGATCCTGAAGGGGTTGTGGCGATTTGAGACCTAGATAACACACTATGATGAGTTCTTAGACTTGAATATGCATTTTGAGAGTTTATGGACCTAAATGACACACCTGTACAAGTTTAAGAACCGCCAGTACATTCTACCCATGAAAGAGTAAATATATATTGTTTGAGAGTTTCTAACAGCTGTAACTAAAATAATTTTTTTATAAGCTGTAGCAGTTAGTAGCTCCAAAAATGACTCCTAACCTCTCGCTTAGCAAAAGCAAAACACATCTCACTCTAGCAATAGCATTTCCTTGTTCGGCACTGTAAAAGTTTCCAGTTCCTGGTTTATGCTCATTGCCTCATTGACACGTGGTATTGAGACCCACATCCCAGTGGCACGAGGAGTGATAAACAAAGAAGAATTTTCATATTTTAGTGAAATGGAAGAATGATAAATAGGAAACTTTTAGAAAATACCGAGAAATAAGAAACGTCTACAGCAGAGTGCAAATTAAAGCAGTCCCAGGTATCGCTGAGATGCTAGTATTTGTAAAATCAAAAGTGTTTTTATTATTATTCTGTGATGAACAATTATGCATCGGAGATGATTGGTTTTGTTATTTGGAATTTATTCATGAAGTGGTTTTGGAGATGATTGGATTTCACAGGTGAATCTACAGGTTATCATTTTATGTGGACCGGTCAGACTGGGCAGGTGTTGCCGGTCAGACCGGCGGTGATCGAGCGGTCGGACCGGCCAGCCCGCGGTCTGACCGGCCGACACTGTGTCGGTTTCGGTTTCGGGTTGTTTATTTGGATATCCGAGTTTATTTCATGATTATAACTTCCAGATGGATACTATATACGTATGTAATACTATTGTTTGCTGCTAATGAGTCAAGTTGGAGATAGCTTGGTCTCGGAATATGGTTTCTTTGTTTGTTCCATGTGTAGGTGACTCGATGTTTCGGGAGAGTATTTGCGGTGATGGACCGGGAGTCGACTTGGGGATAAGACGACGTCCGTGGTGGTCAGAGATCATGCGGGATACTTAGGCTAGAATTGATGCACGTGGTTGATGGAGATTCCATATGGCATACGATGGAGGTATTGTGTGCGTATGGGATGTGGAGTCAAATTTGGAAGGAGTCCAAATTTGGTACGATTGGTTATGTAAAGTTTCTTTCTTGTACTAGAGGGTTTCCTAAGGTGTTTAGGACTCCTCGTATGAGTTTGGTTCGTGGCTTTAGGCTGCCTACCTCATGTATAAATAGAGGGGGAGCGTGAGGCTTCCCGGTATCGCTTTAGAGAGCAATTGAGTTGAGTTTTGAGTTAGGGTTTCGAGTTTAATCGAAATTTTTGTAAGGAGTGCTGTTGGTGCACTTTGTAAACACAGAGAGAAGTAATAAAGACGTCATCTACTTTAAGAGTTCTTCGATTTGTGTTTCACCGGGTTTTGGCGGTCTAACCGGCAACTCACCGGCGGTCAGACCGGCGGCACTACGGCAGTCAGACCGGCGGGAGCACGGTGGTCAGACCGGTGGCGGCAACAGGCGCGGCGAGCAGCTTCGGCGGTCAGACCGGTTAATCTATACCGGTCAGACCGACGGCATCTGAGCGGTCAGACCGGCAAGGCAACTTCGGTCAGACCAATCTCCGTCGATTTCGAGGGTAACTTTTATTTCCGCTAAAAGTTTTTGGTTTTTGGGTATACCAACCATTCACCCTTCTCTGGTTGGCTTAGTTCTTGTGATTCGATCCTACAGTATTATTACAGAGCTTAGCACCTCCAAATGGGTACTACAAAAACATCATTCAAACCAGTAGCTAATGAAAAAAAAATCACAGCGTGCAGCAAAGCAGGTTCACCCTGAAAAAAACATGTCGCAGCAGAAATGTCTCACCTAGCTGTCATAGCTAGTAGATTTTATTACTACTTTCGAACTTAACCATGGCACAACCTTCCTCGAGATATCAAAAATTCAGAAGAAGGGGGCCCTCTGTGGTGCCGCCTGCTTGCGAACTCGCCTCCTCAAAGAGTGGATATCAACATTGAACTTAGTAACTTTAGGTATAACCTCATCTGCATCTCCTACCGCTGACGACTCCGACTCCGTCGCATTCGTCTGAACTTGACCACACTCAGCTTCAACCATGGTGGCATCTTCATTTCTCACAGGTGAGGCATCAAATGGTTGTGGGATGCTCTGTTGAGGAGATGACTCCACCACAATTCCCAGAGTCTGCTTATGCCTACGCTCAGCTTCAGGTCCTGAGAAATCATCCTGAGATATATCTACACCAACCTGGTAATTAAGAAAGAGAAAAAAAAATCAGATTTTAAACCCTTTTAATTTCGATGCTTTTAATTTGCAAACAATTAGAAAGGGGGGTAATTGAGAACAATAGTTAAGAGAATGTAACCTTGCAGCTGAGAGAACAAAATATGTTGGGAGCACTGCGGAGCCAGCAGAAGCAAGATAAGCAGCGAGGTGTCTCTACGTGAGGCTTGAATTGCGGGGACCTCCTCATGGGCCTCAGGTGCACGCCCTTTTGGCCATTGACAATGTATGTCTGCAATCACGAGTAAAATTTGTGAGCATATTGAGTTTCAGTACTTCAGGCTTTCAACAATCACGGGAGCTTTTTTTTTTTTTTCAAAACTTGATGCATATTTATCCCCATGAATACATACATGCCATCCCCTATGAATACCTTCAAAGATCAGGCTAATATATCTTAAGATTTATCAAGTAACATAGACGTTTCGCTGTCGACGGTATATCATCTACCACTAAAAGAATTAGCCGTATATTTAAGCATTAATTGTTGGAGACATGGTAATGACTATCTGTCGTTTGAGTTGTGAGATAGCCCAGCATAAAAAGGAGCAGAGTGCCGTTTTCGGAAAGAGACGCACATCCGTATATGTACGGATTTAGGAAAAAAAGTGGGCTGCGTTTAGACAATACAGCGACTATACGTTGTTTAGTCACGTCGTTTTAAATATGAAAAAGTACAAATTACCCCCTAAAATATTGGGTGAGTATGAATTACCCCCTAAACACGAAACAAGGATGTTTTTCACCCTCAACTAACCCTCAACTATCAATACCGGATGAAAAAACCCCCGAGCAGCTTTGCAAACGGTTTTGGTCTACGTGAAAGTCCAGACATGAATTCATTTTTTTAAAAATTAGCGGGCCCCTCCTGTCAGTCTCCCACCCTCTCTTTTTCCCTTACCTCTCTATCTCTCTCCAAAATCCACTCTCTTCTCCCTCCCTCACCTCGAGGACGGCAGGCGGAGCTCGGGGCGACGAAGGGGCCACGAAGCTTGGGACGGCGATGGGAAGAGGTCGGAACGACGACGGGTGGAGTGGGCGGAAAAGGGGACGGCGGCGGGCGGAGCTCGGGATGGCGGCGTGAGGAGGAGTGGCGAAGGGGGCACTCGGGATGATGGCGGGCGAAGCTCGGGGCCGAAGGGGTGGCGGGAGGAAAGGGCGACGGAGCTCGGGGCGGCAGGAGGAGGGGGCGGCGGAGCGAGCCGAGGATGGCGGCGGGCGGAGCTCGGACGGCGGAGGAAGCGCCTGCAGCCACCGCCACGCAGCTCGTCGAGGCGACGGAGGGGTCGTCCGCTGCCGTCAGTGCTTAAGTCGCAGCCGCCGACATTTGAGAGAGAGAGGTGTGTGAGAGGGAAAGAGATAGACTGGAAAGATCTGACAGGTGGGCCCCATCGTTTTTTAATAAAAAATTTGCTGATTGGACTGCCACGTAGACCAAAACCGCTTTGCAAAGCTGCTGGGGGGTCATATGGTAACGAAAGTTGAGAGTGAAAAATATATGGATTTCGGGTTTGTGGGGTAATTTGTACTTTTTTTTTCCTTTTAAATATAAGATGTTTAGGAGTACTTTCAATGTTACATGTTTTAAAATGGAGTTTGGCTTGATGAAGACTAGACAGGAAGAAAACACGGCCAACACGCGCTTAATTACTTACCTGTACCCTGGACACGTCAACGTTGAGGCCCTGCAAGTCCCTGGCGAGAACGACGGAGCGGTACATGTAGCGGCGGACCTTGAGCAGCCGGTGGCCGGGCTCGTCATGGCTGCAGCGCGGGCAGAGCACCTGGCGGCAGCGGAGGCAGAAGATGCAAACCTCCGCGCGGCTCGCGTCCCAGTGCTGCTTGCACTGCCCCCAGAATTTCGTCCGCAGCAGCACGTCCAGCCATTCCGGCGCCTCCTCCTCCTCCTGCACCGGCACCGGCGGTGGCAGCTTGTTGATGTGCTCGCTGCTGCCCCCCGAGGCCTTGCTGACGCTGGAAACCTCCGGCTCCGCCCTGGTCTCCTTACCCTTAAGCTGCACCACAAACTGATGGGCTGATTGATTAGTCAGTTTGTATTTGGATAGATTGGATTTTTCCCCCCTTTGGGGAAGATAACGGCAAATAGTTTGTTAACACTAAGTAGAATATAGAGTGTCAAATAATAGGATCATGAACTCTGCTGCAACTATGTTGTCATTTTTATTTTCTCGACATGAAACACTGACAGGTATGCCAGTGCCAGATAGTTTGATTTCATAAAAAATATCTTTTGGCTTATGCTTATGCTTATAGGTAAAAAATTGAATTTTCAACCTAAAATTTTAAGTTAATTTTGGGGTTTTATCATCGTAGTTTATTTTTCAGTATTTGCTTTTAGATCACTAAGAACACATACATAAAAGTTTTATTTATAAATTATTTTCTGTTTACAAATATGTCATTTCTCGCTTATTCCGTCAATAAGCGAAATGATGGGGTCCTTGGCACCAAAATAAATAGGCAATTGAGCTTAGGCTATACTTTTTATTTTGGCCGGATCAGCCAAAGGATTAGACTAACCAAAATTCATTAAGATTGGAAGGATAGTTTTAAAAGTTAAACATTGACAGGAAAATAGGCAAGCCATACCCCCACAAAGAAAACTGAAAAATTACATAAGACACTCAGATCGACCGGCAAGTACACAAACAAGTGTTATTTTTTCTTAACTTCGCAAGCAATTTCATCTTGTTATTGCTATTATCATTAAACCTAAGATATATATGTGGAACTAAAAGAAGAAATATATGACAGACAAGGTTTGAGAACTGCCAAAAATTCAAACGGTTTTGGTTTCCTGTGAACAGCTGGCTTTTGCCCTCCATTACCCCTTTATAATTTATTTGCCATCCATTCAGGGCTTGACTAAATAAAAAGACAGTAGATCCAATTTTCTTGGATATCCAGAGATCTGTAATTCTCGTGCCAATCCAAACGGATTGAACATAATCTCCAATCATTCAAACAACATGTTCATATATTAGAAATTAAGCATACCGTTTCTACAAAAATTAAAAAAAACGACTGAAAACACTATAGTTGAGTTCATGGTCTTCAAAACCAGGCTTTACAACATTACAAGAATCCCAAAAGATTGATATATGCAAAAACGAAGAAATTATGTTTTCAAATATACTACGAAATCTTTTTTGAAGAAAGGTGCTATGAAACAAAATAGCATATGATCCCTCTATTTTTTTTACAGCCTTGATTAGTCAAAGAACTAACCAACGTCAAACAAAAAGAAATGGAGGTACTCCATTGAATTTATCGTATCCTAGCTCTTTCCTTACCTTGTTGCTTGACGGGATGGGTTTGGAGCCAAAGGGAAACATGATGGCTGAGAGCAGAAAGCTTGCACCTTGCAGAGCTCAATGATTTTCACGAACATGAGCAAATAGTACTGTGCCAAAGAGGACTGGGTTTTTATGAAGCTAGAGGCAAAGGTGGCACTTGGCTGTAGAAGGAAAGAAACGCAACACGTTAAACTAAACAGCGGACATTTTTCACTCTACATTTGCCCTCTGTATGACAACTGGATCCCACAGAGTTTTAACGTTCGCATTAAATCTATCCAACTATATGTCAAGGGGTAAATGCATACACGTTCTAAAGATGCCGTTTCATACCCATTCTAAAAAGGAAAACCATTTCATATGCATTTTTGAGAGCATCGCGATATATATATTCACGTTTCCATTTTTTTCACTGGAACAATGGACACACCAACCGAGAATCTCTCCAGCATACGGTATATAAGAAACTTTGATTCCGAATCGGAATCGGACATATAATTTTTCGGTGTATAAATGTTCGATTCCGAATAGAACATACTTATTTTTATATATAAATTCTCGGTGTATAGACTTTAAAAAAAAGGAAATATATGGTTGTAGAAATATTAAAGCGTGGGTGCTCACGTGAGTTAGCCATGCAAATGTTTGCGAATTAGCCTTGCAATATGGTGGCTTTACAATAGAAATGTAGTTTTTTCACTTCCCATGAAATGATCAAAGATTATCAAAAACTGGTTCACTCATGTTCGTTCTCCTTTTCTACTAACAGAGAAGTGACATTATGCATGCAAAGAGTGGCTTAAATAAAGAGAATTAATACATGAACCATGAAAATTGTGGAGCTAGGCGTTCGCGGAAAAGAAAAATTGTGGAGCTATGAATAAGAAGAGACTTTTAATAGGACCCACCATTAAACTTGAGGCATAAAAAACCACCGACTTATAAACTAAACTGTAAAAAAAAATCAGTTTAAAAACTTAAACCATTGTTCCTACGAATTATACCGACACAAAAGTAAACCAATAGAAAACACAATATTTATGGGTGAGTTTCTTGTTCCAAAATTCCAATGAATATTGTGTTCTGAAGCTTTCTTGTTTTTTTTATTTCAACTATTGTCCGCCTTTGATCTCGCTCAAATTCTTCCCAGCCTTATCAGTTCATTTCTGAAATTGATTTTAACTTTTAAGAAAGGTGAATCAATTTTGAGTTTCAAAAAAACAACTCGAAAGTAAATTCTCCCTGGAGTACTGGATTCACCCATCCACCTCGTCGACTAGTCCCGTCGTCCGTGACCGTGTGCCTTTGCCTTTCCGCAGAGGAGCGCGATCCCCCACCCCAAACCGGCACGGGATGCCTCAGCGGCGGCCGCGCCTGGCGCCCCTCACCCGCCGCCTCTCCACCTGCCGGGACGGCGACCTCGCCGCCCTCCTCTCGGTCCTCCGCTCGCCGCCAGCATCCTCCACGTCGCTCCCGCGCGCACTCTCCAGTGCCTTCCCGTCCCCATCCGACTCCTTCCCCCTCGGCAAGCTCCCCTCCCTCCTCCCGCTCCTCCCCTCCCCACTCCTCTCCCTCCGGTTCCTCCTGTGGCGCCTTCCCCCCTCCTCGCCGCTCCCGTCCTCGTACGCCCTCTCCTCGCTCGCCGCCTCGCTCCCCGATCTCCCGTCCGCCGTGCCCCTCCTCCTCTCCTCGTCGCCGCAACCTCTCCCGCTCAGGCACTACGCCCTCCTCCTGGGCATCTCCGCACACGCTGGACTATTCCCCGCCTCCCTCGCTCTCCTGCGGCACATGCGCTCCTTCGGCCTCGCCCCCGATGCTGCTTGCTTCCGCTCCGCCCTCCGCTCGGCCGGCTCTCCCGGCGATGTCTGTGCCGTTCTCGGTATCATGTCGGCGTGCGGTGTCTCGCCGAGCGTCCCACTGGTTGTGACCTCGGTGCATAAGCTGGCAACCGCGGGGGACTTCGTCGGTGCCCGCCAGCTGATCGAGAAAATGCCGGAGTTTGGGTGCGTGACCAATGTGGCCGTGTACACCGCGTTGCTCGACGGGATGTGCAGTTTCGGGGATGTGGATGCAGCGCTGAGGCTGGTGGAAGAGATGGAGGGTTGGAGCTTGGGTGCAGGGTGCGTGCCCAACGTGGTGTCGTATACGTGTTTGGTGAAATGCCTGTGTGGGAAAAAGAGGATGGGGGAGGCGCTGAGCTTGCTGGATAGGATGACAGGAAGAGGGGTGATGCCCAACCGGGTGTTCGTGCGAACGCTCGTCGGCGGATTCTGTTCAGAGGAGATGGTCGCAGACGCTTATGCTGTAGTGGAGCGTGTGGTCAGCGATGGGAGTGTGTCGAGCGACCAATGCTACAATGTGCTGCTTATTTGCCTGTGGAGGGTTGGGATGGATGGTGAAGCTGAAGGGCTTGTGCAGAGGATGATGAAGAAAGGGGTGCGGCTGAGCCCTCTTGCGGCCAGTGTTATGGTCAGAGAGCTTTGCAATAGGAATAGGCTATTGGATGCTTGCTACTGGATAGGAGTCATGGAAGAGAACGGGGTGCTCTGTGACACTGATGTCTACAATGGTTTGTTGCTTAGGCTGTGTGTGGAAGGGCATGTTGGTGAGGCCTTGGCGTTGGCTAAGAAGGTTGCTGAGAGGGGGATTCTCATAGAGGCTTCTTGTGCTGATCGTTTGATGGATTTGCTAAAGCAATATGGTGATGAGGAGCTAGCACCAAAAATATCAGAACTGAGGAGGTGCTCTGAAGTGCTGTCACATTAACCAATGTGTGATCCGAACCCTCCTACAAGTATCATGCTTGGTTGATTTCAAATCAAGAAAAATGCTTCCGTGCTGCATGATTACAGCAAGAAAAGGCTTTGAGGGTTTGTTACGCTGAAATAGATTGGTGGGGATAGGGTGCAGCACAGAGTGATTTGTGTGAGCAAAATGTGGATGAGTTACTTCATTTACTTGCCCATTTCCTGTAGTTTTTCTGAACTCTGTTCAGATCCTCCAGTCCAAGGGATGCTTCAGGACATGTGAACTATGATTGCGATGGAATTCTCAGGTTCCTCATTAGTATGCTCCCAAACAGATATGTTTGTTTAAGTGGTGATCAATCAAATGTTTTACATTTTTAAAGAACACATATGCTGACACTGTAACTTGTAGTAGTTCTTCGACCTCCGTTGTATAGCGGCCAACTCTAATCAAGATCAGGTTACCGATTTACAGCTAGAATGTTCCAACTTGCATCCTTTGATGCAAGTGTTTTAGTTCACTGACTTTAGTAGTGAATGTTGTTTTACGGGAACTCTTGTGTTTCCCCAGGGTGATGCACAAGGGAACCAAGGTTTTCGGTACTCTGTTCAGAATTCAGATTCAGAGGAGACGTTTCTGAAGTCTGCGGCAAATGACGGTCTTCAGAAGTGTGTATCAGACTATCAATCAGTCCATCAGGGTCCCATCTACATGCATACACTTTCCTTTTCTTTCATTTCCTCTTTACCGAGCTATTTGCTCCAAACCTTATCCAAGCCGTTTCAAGGGCCCTTTGAATCGTAGGAATGAAAAAACAGAGGAATAGGAAAAACACAGGATTCTGACAGGAATACAATTGTAAAATAGAGGATTGCAAAACACAGGAATGGCCATTTGATTGGATCACAGGAAAAACACAGGAATCAGATGAGAGAGATAGACTCAGAGGAAATGTTCCAAGAGGATAGACCTATTGCTAACTTTCCTCCAAAATGTGCATAGGATTATCCATTCCATAGGAATTTTAAAGGATTGGATAAGATTCAATCCTTTGTTTCAAATGCCTTCATAGGATTTTTTTTTCATAGGATTGAAATCCTCCAAAATTCCTTCATTTTTCCTACAAATCAAAGGAGCTATGTGTAACTTGAAATACCACCGGAATACCAGCAGATTCAAACAATCGAGCTTCAACTGTACTTCCTTAAAAACGTAGTGATCCGAGTATGCAGTGACCCAATTGGAGACAACCTGGTTGGGATTGGGTAATTCTTCCCCGATCCCAACTGGGTTAACCGGATCGTTCGATCGAGATTGTTCGGGTAAGGAATTAATCAGGGTCAGGATAGCATTTTGACAACCTGGCCGCCGTCCGCCAATCCCGCATATGCGCTGGCCCCAGCCCGACATTCCCCACTGGAAGCAAACGCCTCGATTTGCCTGGGAGGCTGGGACACGGGAGGCAAGGCCGTTATTCCGGCGGATCGCTCGTGCACCAGATGCATCTGGGACCCACAGGGATACGCCGGCGAATCTACACGGACTGGAGTACACAGGCCATCCAATGGAGCGCGAGCGGCGCATGTGCATCGTCGCAGCACAGTCGTGGCTTGAGGATTTTTGGAAGTTCAAAAAACACTTCACCGATCAGGCGATGCGGCGAACAGCCGAAGGTTGCTGAACACTCCTCTCCCCCTTCCTCTCCACGCCTCAAGTCACGGCTATATAACTAGCAAGCCAAACGAACATAGCCGTAGGCCCGTAGCATCACAAATTCACAATTCACACACAAAGCACACAGCGCCGCACGCCAATGCCTCCTACCATGCTTGCATCGGTGCCGACGAGGCCGCGCTCCCATCCCTTCCGCCGGCGGCGAGGCGCGGCGGCGGCGGCTCCTCCTCTGCTCCCTGATCAGATCGCGGCGGCGGCGGCGGCGGCAGCCAAGCGACCCGCGGAGTCGTCCACCTCGGCCTCCTCCTGCTTCCACAGCGAGGTCATCTCCGCCACCTCCACCACCTGCCCCACCTCCCTCGCCGCAGCTCAGCGCCCGGAGAAGCGGCCTCGGTACCAGGATGTGGACGAGGAGCAGCCCGCCGCCTCCGAGTGCTCCGAGATCATCGGTGGCGCGAGGCCGCGCGCCGCCGAGGTCGAGGTCTCCGAGTCGTCGTGCCTCGCCTCCGTCCTCGAGTCCTACCTCGCCTGCCCCGAGCAGCTCGCCAACGACGCCGAGACGACCGCCTACTCCTCAGCCCGCGAGGACCTCACGCTGTCGGAGACCGAGGAGGAGGAGGAGGAGGAGGAGGTGCGCAGTGGTCCCTGCATCTGCACCGATTGCTCGTTTAGCCCCCTTCATGAGTCGTCCTCGTCGTCCGACGACGACAACGCCGTGCCCTCCCCCACCTTCTCCCTGTTCCTCGCCTTGGCGGAGCAGTTCGTCCCCTTCACGCATCCCAAAACGCCCACCGCCACGGATGTCGCTCTACAAGCGGGAGAGGTAAGCAGGTTCCACACAGCTTCTCTCAAATTTGTTGGAGTTTGGCTGCTCTCTCCCGAATCAGTGCGACATTTGATGTAATCAGATGGGAATTATTGTATCAGGGGAAGAGATTTGAGGACTTGGACAATGAGGTGAGCTACGAGCGGTTCCGGCGGCGCGAGCGGCGAGGGGTGGTAGCCCGCGACTACATTGAGGTGTACTCCTCCATGCTCGGCAGCTACGGCCGCGCCGTCGTGGAGCAGCGCGTTGTCATGGTGAACTGGATCATGGAGGTCAGTATGCTCTGCATTGTACACGTATGCTGCGACCATGACTTTGCCTTGGTCCAATAATTCATCTAGCTCGAGCGCAATTTGTTGTGTGGTAGCTGCAGATGTTTGTTGCACGGGTATTGTGCTGATAATGCACATGTATACTTTCGGAGTGCTGTACTGATCTAGATTCTATCAGCTTATCTGTCTGACTGATGTGTTCTGCAAGAACAGTAGTTGCTTGCATTTTGCACTAACATGCTACTCTGCAGTGTAAATGCTGTGCTGGGTGGGAGTGCTGAGGTAGCAGATCCGGTTGTGATCTTGCATATTTTGTGTAGGGGAAGCTATCTGATACCAATATACGCATTGCATTTGCTGATTCGTTTATCACACAGTTAGCTGCCTGTACATTTTGCAGCATTCCCCGTGTTAGTCTGCCAGCAGTGTGGTGGTAATCCTAGTGATTTCAATGTAACTCTAGTCATTAACTTTTATGTCATCGCATTCAAGTTCTATAGAGCAGTGATAAAGATTTTCTAGGTGCTTATTTTGGCATGCTTGCATATTTTTTTTGGATGTAATGGCATGCTTGTATGAAAAGAAAAGAGATACATAGGATTTTTCTAGGTGTTTATTTTCGCACCTGAAAGTTGCTCTGTAGTCATTTGCCATCTGAAATCCCATGGCATTGGGCATTGGCATATGGCCTCCAGAAATGTCTGCATCACTTTTTACTTCTAAACCTATATATGCAATAAGTGTTAGAAAAACATATTGCCAGTGTATTCCCTTTTTTTGTGTATCCACCATCATCTGAATTTAATCTTTTCTAACTCTAGTTCCATCAGTTTATATTTGCATTGAAACTTCAGGTAGCCTTTGAAAATGAAATCGCTGTGTGTTTTTTGTTTGAAGTTTTTTTGGGCAACTCAGCGATAAGTACTTAAGTGATATGATCATTTATACTTGTAATTTGATTTTTCTGAAAATAATGTACTGTCATTTGTGGAGAATATGTTTGTTCTTACATAGAGTTCATACATAACTTGCAAAGAATGACTTGTTCTCTATGCATCGCTAGCATTCACAAGCGATGAAGCTGCAGCCAGAGACCGTGTTCATGGGGATAGGGCTGATGGACCGCTTCTTGACACGTGGATATGTAAAGGGCTCTAGGAACCTGCAGTTGCTGGGAATCGCCTGCACCACCTTGGCAACCCGCATTGAAGAGAATCAACCCTATAATTGGTAATGGCTCCCTTAAATGACCAGTTTCAGTATGAATACTTCTGCAAGTTGTTGGTGTCTGCTTGTCTGGTACTCACCTAAATAGTTCGTCTCATTTGAATATAGCATGTATTATTAAATGGGATAGTGCTCAATTGCAATGCTGCAAATTCCTTAGTATTCTTTGATAGTTTGATTTTTCTGAAAGTTGAACTTAATTCTAACAGACATTAGCATGAGTTTATGAGTTTAATTATGTTCTATAAATAACTTAATAACAACAGGAACATCCGATGGTAACTCATATCTCATCTAGTAGCTATTTATCACTTTCAATACTGAGCACTGCATGTGAGAACTCAGACCATTGGACCATTGTTCTACAAAAAGGTTTCACACGATGGGTATTTTAGAAATGAAGGGCTTGTTTGGTTCTAAGCCATTGTGGGCCATACCAATTTTTTGGCAATGGCAAGATTTAGCCACTCCAAAATCTTGGCAAAGGACTTGTTTGGTTTGTTGACAAACTTTTTGGCAAGATTGATTAGTTTAGTATTTAGTTTGCTACCAAGGAAAAATATTGGTGTTGCCAAAATTTGGTGACAAAAAGAAAGCTAACAAAATTTTAGGCAGACCAAAATATTGGTATGGTTTTGATTGGCTGAGAACCAAACACACCAGAAGTTTCTTGATTGTGTTGACTATGATCAAGCATCTCTCAAAATAATTTACCGCGCCAGTTGGCATCCTTGAGCTATTGTTTTTTAAGAAAAAAAGAACTAAGCTATCAATTATTGGGAGAGATGCGATTTTGAGAAATTATCACTTGCATAGATCTCCTTGATATAGTTTTATTTCTCTGTTTTTGATGTTACAATAAAGCTATTACATCAGCGCTCTGGTGGGCGAGATATTCTCTGTGTTTTCCCTTAAGTTTTAAAGACTAAACTCATATGAATCTTCAACATTTTTGAAAGTAGACCTTATTTGTATCCCTGAGAACTTGCTAGTAAATGAATGTTTTATGTGCCACTTATTACTGCACAGAAGCATGTGAAGTGAACCCAGGAACTATTCTTCTTTGCCTGTCTACTTTGCACGAAGTATCACTTTTGAACTTATGAGTTTGCCTCTGGATGCGCATTTGTTTCAAGCGCCTAGTTTCTGTCAAGGGCAATGTGCAATATAGACCTTTTCTTTAGAACACTCTACAGGAACCTAATAATACGATCTCTTTCAGCATCCTTCAAAAAGCTTTCAAAGTAGGGATCAATACTTACAGCCGAAGTGAGGTCGTCGCCATGGAGTGGCTGGTTCAGGAGGTCCTTGACTTCCAGTGCTTTGTCACAACAACCCATCATTTCCTCTGGTACTATGCCTGTGTGTTTGCTTCATTTTCTGTGTCAGCTGGACAGAATGAATAAGAAACTTACAATTGTTTGGTTCAACTTTGCAGGTTCTATCTGAAGGCTGCGAATGCAGATGACAGAGTCGAGGACCTGGCGAAGTACTTGGCCTTGCTCTCACTTCTGGACCACAAACATCTCTCCTTCTGGCCCTCCACTGTGGCAGCCGCAGTGGTAGCCCTTGCTTGCCTTGCCACAAACAATGAGTCATCATGCCATTTGGTTATGGAGGTAAATACTTTAATCTTCCATCACTGGCTATGCTATTTCTCTTATATCTGCAGTCTGCTATTCGTTCAGAACTTCCTTAAGGAAAAAGATTCTGAACTTTTGCTCAGTTTTGTATGTTGCTGCTTTCATTTTATCTCGTAGCCAGATGACAAATGCCATGAATCACCTAGGTCTTCACATGCTTATTCCAATTCACAACATACTGATCCTTGCAAAGAATACAAATGTCTAACCACTTGCTCTTCACATAAATGCAGACTCACATGAGAACGAAGAATGATGATCTGCCTGAATGCCTAATGGTTTGTTTTCTCCTCAAATTATGATTCTGGTGAAAAGTGTTGTACACAGTTTGCAGCAATTTGACTATTACCCGGATCTTTAGCGTGCCATGGCATATAACGTGCAGTAATCCTTTTATGCAGAGTCTCGAATGGTTGACCAATTATGCTTCCTGATTTGAACAAACCCAGGTGATATGCCGACCCAATCTTCTGCCCATTCCCAGAAACACAGTGTAGTACGTACAGAGTCGCTTAGGAGGAGGTGTATATAGTACACGTGCACTGTAGCTAATTCTTCGTGCATAGCATTAGTTTGACAGCAGGGTAGAAAAGAGGGCAAAGAAGCCGGCTAAACGTGGTTGTGATGGCACCAGACTTATAGGGAGCATCGCAACCACGAAATTTTGCTACTACTGCCGGCTTCAGTGACTACGACTAACCTCCTGTTGTAAGCTGTCTTAAAATCAGCCTTCGTTGTGTTAAGGGCAACCAAAGGTTGAGACTTTGTTGTTCTAATCAAACATCCTGTTTACAAATTGCAACTGGTGCCAGAATGAAATTTGTTCTCCGGGTGGTATTGCACTGCACGAGGTTCGATTCTGTGACCCTGAAAGACGCATACTCAGATACTCTGATGCTCAGGTTTCAGATTCTGGGATGAATAAAATGCTACTAGTAGTATCATCTTCTTCTGGATCTGCAAACAGATGTTCAGTTAGCTGAAGATCCAGAGTACCACCTCGTTTGCTCAGGTACATGTCATCAAAACATCTACTACTAATCTCTAGTTTTATTCTCTAGACTTCTCTATTCCAATCTATCTCCAGGATGCAACAGGAAGGGTCTGCATCCAGGTGGGCTACCTGAAGTGGACGAAGCGGTCATCTTCGTGCCGCTGCTCGAGTGGCCTAGTGGGGACCCCGGCTGCGCCCGATGCCTCGGCCACTTTAAAAACTCGGATCGCGAGAGTTCCTGCACGCCATAAAAATGAGGAAAACGAGGTGGGGAGGGCGTGGCTTCTTTTCTCTATGATGAAGTGCGTGGCATTTGTTGAGCCATCCTAATCAGAGTGTTGTTCATGCATGTGCCCCGAATGTTGGGGGCGTCTGCAGAAAGAAGGGAGGGCGTTCGCGTACACCCCCCTTTCAGCCCCACTTGCGCCCGCGCTCTCGTTGAGCCGTCTGCCTTTTGGGGTTCTAGAGTGAATAGGGTCGGCACGTTAGCGGCGAGCCGGCGACGGGTAATGTGGTGTGCCAACAACTTTCAGCTGCTGCTGAAGTGAAGAGCAGGTGGCGATCAACCAGTCCCGGCACTGAACTACTGAACCTGAAGTGGTTACTCCATTCATCGACAGAGATATTTAATTATTTGTCACTTTTAGATGTAATATTTTACCACATAAACCTACAAATCATAAACATATAAGTGACAAATTATTTAACGCCACATCGAAAAATGGTAAATGCTTATTTGCCCCTTCCCACTCTCTCAAAGTGTGGATCCATGTCTCCTGTAAATTTACTTTTAGTCGTTTTCTTTGTTTTTAATACCGATATTTTTTTATCTACCTATAAATATAATTATATTAGTACTATACTACAACTTTGGCATTTAAATCCGAAAATCTTATATGTGGGTGATGCGGCTGTTTTCCTCACTCCAGCAAGGAATGAAGTGGAGCTATGAAAATCTTATTGGCATTCTTAGGGACTTCCGCGAGGCAACAGAGTTGCATGTCAATCTCGGAAAGGGCCTGTTGGCACCCATACGATGTCAGGAAATTGATCTCGATGACGTTTTGTGCAACTCCTCTATGGTGAGGGCTACCTTCCCACCAACTTGTTGGACTACGGCTCACCCTTGGCCATTTGCACAAAGTATACATCTGCAGCTTGTCCAACACAAGATTAAGGGTTGTCTCTTGAGATGGAATCCATCGTTCTTATATGCAGGGGGACGCTAGATTATGGTGAACTCAGTCCTAAGTGCCATCCCAACATACGTCCTCACAGTGTTGAAGCCGCCAAAACAATCCATTCAAGATATTGACAAGGCAACAAGAGGTGCGCTTCCTATGGGTTGGCAATGAGGAGATGCATGGAGGCAAATGCAAAGTGAGTTGGTCCAAAGTTTGCTATCCCGTTCAATATGACAGTCTAAGAGCTATAGGCGAGTGTTGAAAAATTTGTGAACTTTTCACCTTATATGCAATAATATAATAGAACAGTACAGAGCTATAGGCGAGTTTTGAAAATGCTCATAATCTTTATAATATTTGTGAACTATGATGACTTTACCGAATTTGCTACTGCCTCCGTCCCAGAATATTAGAAGTTTTATAATTTGATATAGCTATTAAGAAAGTAGATATAATAAAATAGGAGAATATTGTGATTGGTTGAGACGTGGAGGTAAGTGAAGAAATTGAATGGTGAAGGATTGTGATTGGTTGTGAAGAGAATATTGGTGGATAAGCTGTTACATTTTGGGATAAATTTTTAATGCTAGAAGTTGTTATATTTTGGGACGGAGAGAGTAGCTGAATTTCTTACATAATAACTGTGGGCAAGATTATAAGTCATTTGGAAGCAATTATAAATTTATATACAGGTAGACTCAGTGCTCTAATATATATCCAACCATTCTACCCTATTAATATTATAGATCACCTCCAAGTAACATGGTAATGTAGATTACTTGCGAGTTGAGAATGGAAGTTGTCTCTTTTAGGACTTATTAATATCACAAGCAACTCACCAGGTGATCGAAAGCCATGCATGTGTCTTACATGGCATTTATCCTAAATATGGAAACATAAGATATGTTATGTTTCAAGTGGTATAACCTCTTAAGAATTATGGAGCAACTTGTTAATGTATCGATGTTACTATCTCTTGCAAATTGAAATTCAGCTGATCCAAAAAGGTTTCAGTGATCCAATCGCTCTCTGCCAGCGTCCTGTCTCAATTTCTTTCAATGCCAGCGAGAGGAACTCCGATAACTACTCGTACATCAAGTCGCTGCTTAGGTCTTATTCATGATGGTTAGATAACAGTGAATCCATTGATCAACTATCAGGTATCGTGCGATGGCAAGCAATACATGCCTAAATCTTTGCTTGGTTTTTGGTGCGGTGAGAAAACGAAATGGGATATACTCCAGGAACGGTTCTTCACATTGAACCACTGTACTCTGTTTTTTAGCTACGAGTAAGAATAGTTGGCATTTATTCTATACACAGGATCGGACAAAACAGAACACTAGTAAGTGGGGGTGAAGAATCTTTCCAACAATCGTCTGCACGTTTAAGCATAGTTGGTTGATCCATCTTCTTGGATGACTAGCAATGAGTTTTTCGTTTTCCACTGATTTATTTCGATGGCTTAGCGGCTTCGTACCAAATACGGCCAGCAGGTGAGATTCTTCAAGCACTCACTCCTCCACAATGAGACAAATGCGCGCGTATGCCAATTACTAATTTCTACGTAGTACGATGTTTAGTTGCTGGAATTCTGCTAGCTAATCATCGCATCATTATCTGAAAAACTAAACATGGCACACCTAATCCATCCACTTCGTAATATATGGTTCGGACGTTAGATTTCCTCCAACAGGGGCGGCTGATGTGAGCTCAAACCACCATAATTCCACGAGAAACTTTCTTAAAAAAACTGGGCATCATCTCAGCATTTCTAGCGCACGAGATGAAACGAGACCACTTCGTATCTCTTGTCTTTTTCTTCCAACCTGCAAGGCGCACAGAGATTTGCAGGGGTGAGGCAGGAATGGATCCACAGTTAAATGGAAGGAGGCAGGAACGGACGGTTGCGAATCGCGCGAGGCGGAAGAAGCCGCGCCTCTCGTGCCATCGTGCGCGCTTCGTATTCGATCACGTGTACCTCAGGTTGGATTGGATTGAATGATGGGGGTTGGTTACTTTTACTTCACAAAGGTATTACGGTTTTTTTATTCCGTCTTTACGAGAACCGAACGCAAAGCTAATACCGAGCGAGATGGGTTCAACTGACAAGTTGCGCCTAAAAAAGAAGAAAGGGAGAGGATAGCCGGGGCCAGAGAGAGAGAGAGAGAGAGAGAGAGAGAGAGAGAGAGAGAGACGGGATGGATATCCTATCACGAACAATGCGTGCGTCATTTAGCATTGTTTATGCCATTGGAAAACGACGCTGAAATTGACACTAACCTGGCCCCACGCACAGAAAAATAAAAAATAAAATCAAAAGGTTGGCCCGTTGTACATCACCGCAAAAAATTCACCGTATTCACTCACGCTTCCACGATCGTTCCTAGCCATACCACTGGTGAAAAAATAAAGATCTACTACTACATGTTGTGTACTTGTGTTCGCTGCCGTGCCACCTATCAAGTTTTCGAGTTGCCTCGCCCAATAGTTCACCTCTCGCTACTTACACTTCTATAGGTGCACGCACGGTACATGCATGCTTATCCCCTCCGAGATCCACTGATCCAGGCCACACGACGAGCAACGGAGCAAGTACCTATCCAAGCATCGCTTTCTTGCGGCCAATTTGCACAGTAGTACGTGGTGGGCAGTGGCACCTCAGCTGCAAAAGCAAAGCACCCCAAAACAAAACAAAACAAGCCAAGCGCAAGCACAAAACGGAACACCACGCCACGGCGTAAGAGCGCGACGAGTCACGCACGGACGCACGCGCCCCGTCCCCCATGCGGTTGCCTCCCGTTGGGCGCAAGTTGCCCGCGCGCGCCGTGACGTCGGAAAGTTCTTCCCCTCTTCGCGAATGCCCCTGCCTGCCGCCCTTCGCTCGCTGCCGCCGTCACGTCACGCATATCGTATCAGGACGAAACGGAGAAAAATCCTTGTCCTTATCGCGCGGGGCGGCGCGGGGCCTCACTTCGCCCTCACTTTCTCGGTTAGATCTTGCTTTCGCCCCCACTGGCCTGCGGAAGTTGGTGTGGTTACCGGTCTCGGGACCGCGCGCGAGGATGGCTCCGCTGCGGAAATGGACTTTTTTTTTTTTTGAGAATTTGCGGAAATGGACTTGACCTCCCCGCGCGAGAGACCGAGAGAAAGGCAGGAAACGGGGAGAATCGAAGAACCAATCCCACTCGGAAGTCTAGAGGATTGGAAAGAAACGGAGAAAATCGAAGGACCGCGCGCGGCCGCCCCTGCCGAATTTTGTTGTTGTCAGTTGTGGCTCCGGACTTTGAGCAGATTAGATATCTCAGACTGAAACAAATCGTGCACCTACCTAACCTAACTCGGTCGGTAGAATGTAGGCATAAGCTATGAACCTGATTAATGACAAGTCTCTCGAGGTTAGCTCGCGTGTGCTAACAAACTGCTAATATACCACGTGATCAGCAATTTGGAACGCATGAGGTAATGTAAATATCTACATGACTCCGTAGGCACAAACTACTATATAAGAAAAAAATGTACTTTTCTTCAATACATATAGTCTATGAGCTAATGGAAACCGGCATTTTTGAAAGTTGAGCATCTCCAACAGCCTCCTTACTCCACTCTCTAAGCCAAATTTTGGCAATTTTAGATCAAAATCATGCTCTAACAGACTAGCCAACCGTATAGCCAAGCCATCCGGCTGGCCAAAGCACTTCTCACGCTGGCCAACTTTGGCCAGCCAAAATGGCCTAGCCAAACATGGATCCCACACCTTTTCCCCCTCCCATCCCACACTCTCTCTGCAATTTCTCCGATTCACCACTCCCCAGATACAGCTCCGCCGGCGCCACCACTCCGCCGTCGTCGCCCCCTGCCGGGCCCGCCGCCGGTTGCCCTCTGCTGCCGAGGCTGCCTTGTCGTCGTGCGTTGCCGACGCCACCGTCGACCGCTGCCGAGGTCGCCACTCAACGCCACTGTCTTCATCATCTCCGCCCAGAACACCATTGCCCTCACGCGTGGGGATCCGCCGCCGCCGCCGCCGTCACCTCCCGCCTTGCGCGCACAAGGAGCCACCGCCGTCGTCGTCCGCCTTGCGCGCGCGGGGAGCTGCCGCCGCCATCGCCTCCCGCCTCGCGCGCGGGGATCCGCCGCTGCCGTCGCCTTCCGCCTCGCCCGCACGAGGAGCTGCCGCCGCCGCCGCTGCCGCCGTCGCCGTCGCCGTCGCCGTTCGCCGTCCACCTCGCGCGGGGATGGGTCGATGTGGGAGAAGAGAAAGAAGAGGAAGAAGGTAATAGAGGCTTATATGTGGGTCCCTTTGTTATTTTGGAGATGTAAATAGAGAGACTGTTGGAGTGAACACCTAGTTTGATTACCCAAATCAGTTAAAGAGTTAGATATATAAGTATTTGGAGAGTGGAATTTGGAGATGCTCTAAGGCTGTGTTTGGAGGTGGGTGTTGGGAACCCATCTCCCATACATGAAAAACAGAGCGGTCTATTAACACGTGATTAATTAAGTATTAGCTATTTTTTTTAAAAATGGATCAATATGATTTTTTTAAACAAC